GTTGCTAGAGCTATAAATAGAGCAAGTTAGAAAGACAGCTACCAATTTGGCAAAAGTCTTCTACTTCAGCTTGTGAATTTTGCTGCTTCGGCTCCTGATCGTTTTCACCTGTTTCTTCAACCGCCTCGGTCACCAGTATAGAAGCATTGACTTCGTCAAGGTGTTTAATGAAATGGAATGCATTGGCATGAGAACTTTCTCAATAAATATTTTGGGACACCGATCAGAATTAAAGCAAAATACAACATTACAGCAGCAATACATGTTACTCTATTTCTTTATCTCCAGGTTCTTCAAATAGGTGATTCAGCGTTTTGCAATCAGAGTTTATCCAACCAACTCCCTATTATAAAGGGGAAAGTAATGCCAAGCATTGCTTATTCTAGGATATTTTTAAATACACAGTTAGAATATCATTCAACAATTCTTCACTTACATTTTACTCTTTAAGTGATTTAAGTAATTTTTTTTCTTTAAGAAAAATGATGCAAGTTCACTGTTTCAATGAAGGACAAACAGTTTTATACTTTTAGACCTGCTGGTGGAAGGCATGGGGGGCAGTCATATTGATTGTTGCTTAGCTATGTTACACACTTGCATTCTCAAGTTGGAGAAACAGAAAAAAGACAATGAAACAATATTTAGTATCTTGAGAAAAAAAAAACAACCAAAAAAACTCAGAATCTTTTGCAGTGAGATTTTTTTTCTTAATTACAGCTTAATTGGGAATAAGCTTCTTGAAGCTGTCAGATATGGGTACCCACCTATACAGACTGCTTTCAAGATGTCTGTTATCAACACAGGAAGAAGTGAGTGTGCTCTGCTCCAGCATCACTGACCAGAAGAAATGGTCTTGAAAAGACTAAAGTTATTTGAGGACACATAAAAGAATAAGAGATTTGAGAAGCATTAGAGTGGCGGTAAATGGACTAAAGATACAAAATGTCTGGTGAAGTTCATGTACAAATCGGCAAGTAACTATGTATATTCACCTGCGCACTAATCTGTAGGATTAACTATAGCAAACTGTTAATTAGAATATCTTATAGCAGGAAGTATTAAAGCACTGGTAAAAAGAGAATATTCAGGAAAATCAGGTATCTCTGCATGTATCTATTCTCAGCTACATTTTGCTTTCTTTCTTTTTTTAGTTCCAGGCATATTTTTTACGTGAACAGGAATTTCTTCATCTCAGAATTCCCCCCCCCCCCCAGGCATGGGAAGCAATGTGGTTTTAGAAGTGAACTGAACAGCTTCTACTTCGTGGTCAGATGAGATCTTCATTGCACATATTCAGCTTGTGTGCTTCTCATTCTATAACATATTGTATTTCCCATCCTCTTAATTTTTTTTCTCTTTCCTTGATATGGGATAAGAAAATATGGCTTTTATCTTAAAGCTGAATCAATCTCTCTCTCTCTCTTTCTCTTTTTACTTTTGTAATTCTCAAGTTATATTTTGGTTGGAAACAAATACTTGGTAGAACATATTTATTTCTTATCTATTTGTTTTGTAAGGACCCATTGGGTACAAACTCTTAAATGATATTGAAGAGATTTAGAGACTTAAGAACTTTAACCCCTGAAACTACCCTGGCTTAATTTTAACACTGGTTTGGTTCTGACCAGGGGCTTATTCTTCCTTGTATTGAGAAATGAAAACTTAATTCAGTTTCCAAAAAATGTAAAAAATAGTGATAATATAAAATACAGAAAGTTAAAGCACTGAACACAGAGAAGATACTTTAAAAAAGAGTTTCTTTTTATTTGATACGTATTACATAAAAAGGGATTATATTTAAGGAATATATAAATCGATTAGCAATAAATGTCACCACTACCAAAGCTAGCAAAGAAGAAACTACTGACTGACTAACAGTAGCATTTGTCTAATCATAACTACTAGCAGACAGGACAGACTGCCTGCAGCCAAAATCGGCAGTTCGCTAGATCCACACACACCCTTTCTCCCCTGTACAGAGAAAGACCTGTGAAGCGTTTAATCTTGTGTTCAGGAAGTAAAGCTTGCCATCCTCCAATCTAACCAAGACCTAATCAAACAGTAGGCTGGTGGCAGAGACATAAATCAGAGTCTGAGAGCAATGTTTATAGCCAAGAGGAAGAAAAGGCAGGCGTGAGCAATTTGTTTGAGGAAGAACTGACAGCATCACCAAAGTATGATATGTCTGTAGGAGCCCGTGTTTGATAAATGCGAGGCCGCCATAAACAAGAGAATTCAAGGGTGCTCGTGCTCTCTCTCTTTCTGCTCTTTTCAGTCCTCTTTAATATTGACTGAGATGTTCATAAGTACACAGGCAGCATGGAACTGGTGCTCATTCTCTGGCTGCTGGAGAGGATGCTTATTTATTTATTTATTTACTTGGACCTGAGGCTGGTGCTGCTGCTAGCTGCAGTAGTGCATTTTCCCTGCCTTCCTCATACCCCTTCCCCGCCCTGTCTCCCCTAGTCTGTTGGGAAAGGCAGCTGTGTCTTAGTCATTGGTTTACATACTCAATAAAAAAGAACCATGCCTGTGTTGGAATCTCTCCTTTCTGGGTTAAGAAAGAGTAAATCCTCCCTCAGGAGCGCTCTTTCTCTCTCTCTCTCTCTCTCTCTCTCTCTCTCTCTCTCT